TTTGTAATGATAAAGTTGTAATTTTTTTTGTAGATGAAAAATGTTACAGGTGGTGATCGAGAAAGGTAAAGGAGGGCCAAAACAAAAATTGATTAAAGGTGGACCAGAACAAAGCATGTGTTTATGAAGAATTTTGATAATTTGAATTAAAGTTTATGTATGTATGGATGATTTGGTTGTATGGATTAATCATGTATGGTTGATAATGTGGTCGTATGGATTAATCAAGTATGGATGATAATTTAAATTAAAATTTATGTACGTATGGATTAGTTGGTTGTATGGATTATTCATAATTTGATGCCCCCCCCCCCCCCAATTTCGAATTTTTTTCGGAACTATGAGTTACAAAACTTCACCAACGGGTTACAATACTGGTCTAACGAGTTACAAAAATTGATTAAGGGGTTATAAATTTTTTTTTCCAGAATTAAGAGTTACAAAACTTGATTAAGGCGTTACAAAACTGGTCTAAGGAGTTATAAAATTTTTTTAAGGAGTTACAAATTTTTTTCGGAACTATGAGTTACAAAACTTCAACAACGGGTTACAAAACTAGTCTAACGAGTTACAGAAATTGATTAAGGGGTTATAAATTTTTTTTTTCAGAATTAAGAGTTATAAAACTTGATTAAGGGGTTACAAAACTGGTCTAAGGAGTTATAAAATTTTTTAAGGAGTTACAGATTTTTTTCGGAACTATGAGTTACAAAACTTCACCAACGGGTTACAATACTGGTCTAACGAGTTACAAAAATTGATTAAGGAGTTACAAATTTTTTTTTCAGAATTAAGAGTTACAAAACTTTATTAAGGGGTTACAAAACTGGTCTAAGGAGTTATAAAATATTTTCAAGGATTTACAAATTTTTTTCGGAACTATGAGTTACAAAACTTCACCAACGGGTTACAATACTGGTCTAACGAGTGACAAAATTTGATTAAGGGGTTATAAATTTTTTTTTCAGAATTAAGGGTTACAAAACTTGATTAAGGGGTTACAAAACTGGTCTAAGGAGTTATAAAATTTTTTAAAGGAGTTACAAATTTTTTTCGGAACTATGAGTTACAAAACTTCACCAACGGGTTACAATATTGGTCTAACGAGTTACAAAAATTGATTAAGGGGTTATAAATTTTTTTTTTCAGAATTAAGAGTTATAAAACTTGATTAAGGGGTTACAAAACTGGTCTAAGGAGTTATAAAATTTTTTAAGGAGTTACAGATTTTTTTCGGAACTATGAGTTACAAAACATCACCAACGGGTTACAATACTGGTCTAACGAGTTACAAAAATTGATTAAGGAGTTACAAATTTTTTTTTCAGAATTAAGAGTTACAAAACTTGATTAAGGGGTTACAAAACTGGTCTAAGGAGTTACAAAAATTGATTAAGGAGTTACAGATTTTTTTCGGAACTATGAGTTACAAAACTTCACCAACGGGTTACAATACTGGTCTAACGAGTTACAAAAATTGATTAAGGGGTTATAATTTTTTTTTTTCAGAATTAAGAGTTACAAAACTTTATTAAGGGATTACAAAACTGGTCTAAGGAGTTATAAATTTTTTTTAAGGAGTTACAGATTTTTTTCGGAACTATGAGTTACAAAACTTCACCAACGGGTTACAATACTAGTCTAACGAGTTACAAAAATTGATTAAGGGGTTATAAATTTTTTTTTTCAGAATTAAGAGTTACAAAACTTGATTAAGGGGTTACAAAACTGGTCTAAGGAGTTACAAAAATTGATTAAGGAGTTACAGATTTTTTTCGGAACTATGAGTTACAAAACTTCACCAACGGGTTACAATACTGGTCTAACGAGTGACAAAATTTGATTAAGGGGTTATAAATTTTTTTTTTCACCAACGGGTTACAATACTGGTCTAACGAGTGACAAAATTTGATTAAGGGGTTATAAATTTTTTTTTTCACAATTAAGGGTTACAAAACTTGATTAAGGGGTTACAAAACTGGTCTAAGGAGTTACAAAAATTGATTAAGGGGTTATAAATTTGATTCAAGGGTTATAAAACTGGTCTAAGGAGTTATAAAATTTTATTAAGGAGTTACAAAAGTTTTTCAGAAGTATACTCTAATTTTAGATTTACGTTGAATATTTAAGGAGTTACAAAAGTTTTTCAGAAGTATACTCTAATTTTAGATTTACGTTGAATATTGCACCCTGTCATCTTATCAACATAGCAAAACTAGCATATAACTCAACCCGAACTTCATTTAAAAGCAACAAAATGTACCATAGCTGCGAAAGAAAGGGCCACAAAAATTGTGTCATCAGACACTTTTTACATTTTGTGCACTAATATATTTCTAAGCAATGCAATATCATAACATATCAAGTGTAAAGTTTTCAAGAAACTGGTACAAAACTCTAGTCACGCTCTCATTCTGCAATATCTAATTAGCCGAAGTTTCAACAACATGCTACAAAATAGCAAAACAAGCATATAACTCAACCTGAACATCAGCCAAAGATACAATAAACAGAAACTTCGGCTAATTAGATTCGCCCACAGAAGATTTCAAGGATGCATCTTGATGGGATCGACGAGAAGAAGAATATGCTGATATTGTAGAACTTGTTATGCTTTGCGATTGCTTGGTGAGGTCCTTGCTTTTCTTGGCAGCAAACAAAACTACCCAAAAGAATCACACCCACCCTGTAACAAAAGAGTCAATTTGGAATTATCATTCGAGAATTAAATCCAAAGAGAATCCCACAGTGAAAATTAAGGAATTAATGACATGCTCTTCCATCTATTTTAGCTTGTGTAAAGAGTAATATTTGAGTAATTACCTTGTGAATTACAATCGTCAGAAATATGGTGAATTGCGTGCATACAAGAGAGCTGCACAAAACTTGGCTCTGTATTTTGCACACCTTCCTTGTGAGATTGTTATCGATCGCTTTTCGACAATGCTATTAATAAATTCAATCACAAAGATCCCACAATCTAAGGTTCTGCATTTAGCAAAAAAACATAATTACAACCTGGTGATTTACCTTGAGGGAAAAATTGAAATATTACAATGTAAATGCATGAAACACGTACGGTCCTTGTTGAGGAGCGGCAACTGACACAAGTTCATGGTGCTCTAATTTCCCCAACGTCCAATTACTCTCTATGAAATTCATAAACTTATTTTTAAATTTTGCAGCATCGGCGGTATAAAGGGAAGACTTGATTGAGGAGTAGTGATAGAATTTTTTCTCCTCCCTCACTAACTCTACCATATGCCAATGTCCGGAGCTGACAATTGGGATCAAAATTCTTTCACACTCACAAAACTTTTGCTGAGAAACATTTTCCTTCATTCGTTTTGCCATCATTTCAATATTTCCTTTCAGAAATGCTTGCTACAAAGAGGCATCAATGTAAACCATGTAAGGAAACATAATAATAAATACCAACATCCAATGAAAAAACAGGGATATACTTACTGCAAGCCAAGGTCTCGTAACATGTATTTTTCGATCATAACTATTAGTTGTCTCAATCTTATAACAAAGTCGAATAACAAATGCATCGATGACCTACAAAAATTACCATGAATGAGTGAAATATTTATAACTAATATATACAACATCAACCACTAACCATGACACAATTTAGCACCTACATCGTCACTGAGTTCACCTCCTGTTAACAGTCTATAAGCATCTAAGCGAGATACACTTGCTTCGGCACACTTCCAAACGTATGTATCACTTTATGCAAGTACGTGTGAGAAAATTGTGACTAAAATTAAGTTAATTTAAAGAATTATTATTAGAATAAGTCCTTAACAGTTACCTGGTCATTTCCAGTTGTAGAAAGTTGTCTATTACTTTGTCCTCATAATCAGAGACCAGTGTCTTTCCTGGATAGTTGCGAGATCTAGGTATGAAGCCTTCTTCATTTATGCACTTCTTTTTAGGAGTCCCCTCAGGACTATCCAAGATCTGGATAACGCGTTTCTTCTTTGTGACTTCTTTGGGTTGATCTAGACGCAAATAGGGTGAAGTGACAAAGGGTCCATCCTTCCTCTTCCTCTTTCTGACAGCCCGTTTAATGGATGGGGTTTCCCTCTTATTATCATTACCACCTTCCTCATTTTGAGAAAAATCTCTAAGGAGTTAAAATGCATATAATTAACAAAGAGATACACAAACATTATACAAAAAGTTAAAAAAGCAAAATCTAAGAGAATAGAAACTCACAATTCATGTTCAATATCGACTTTCTCATTTTCTTCTTCTATATTTTCCTTGAATTGGGTTTCATTATCCTCTATCACTTTCTCTTCCACATTCTCATTATCATTAGCTTTTGTATCCTCTTTGCTTTTATTCTCTGCATTAGCAGTTACCGTATCCTCTTTCTCCTTATTCTTTTTTATGCCTCTAGCACCACGCTCTTCTAATTCTCGTAATTCAGCAGTGAGCTCATTCAACTCGGCAGTCTTCCTAGCAATTATTGCAATCAATTCAGCTTTCCGTGATTCCTATAACACAAAAAATATATAAGCATTAGTACTCATATTGTAGTTATAGATAAAGATATTAAAAAAAGAAAGGAACATAAAAATAGTGAACTATTAGAGCAAAGATGTGAACAAACTTCGGGCAATGCCCTATGAATAAGAAGAGTATTCTTTTGGCCAATATTTGTAAGAAACTTTGGATCTCTGAATAATTTGTTCATGGTAGTCCTCCTCCACTTTCCGGTATTCTTAACACAAAATATCAGCGGTAGCCCCTCAATATCTGAAGTATACTCTAATTCTCCCACTATTTCATAAAACCAAACCTACAAAAAATCTATATATTAGAATGTGCATAAACAATAACCATTGTCAAAAATATTTTTACAAAGTAATTCTCATGCAACTCACCAGTAATACGGAGGAAAAACCACCCATGTAACCAGCGTATGAACGCTCCCCTAAGTTCCTCATACTAAGAGACTTCTTCGCCTTATTCAGATCAGATACCTTTTTCTCTTGAAATTGACGAACTATGCTCACGCACTCATGACCGACATTATTTTTTCGTTTAATTCTAAGTTGTGCTTGGCATTCTTGTTGAGTGAGAGAGCCTTGCTCATTTCCATGAGCAACGTCAATAACCTTACAAATAGTAGAAGGTCGTAAACCTTGATTGTCAAGAGTATCTATCAACCTTCTTGTCGATTGAGCTCGATGAAGTGTCCGATGTGAATTGCTATTTGCTCATTGTTCAATGATGTCGGTATCCGGAGAAAGTTGTGAAAAGGTGTCGTCTCAAGATATTTCGTATGCCTTTCATCCAATACTATACGCTTATCAATTAAATCTCGAAAAAAACAAATATTGGATGGAATTCTCAATTGTGTTATCATAGCCCTACAAGAGAATTATAATTCAGAAATAGTTAAAAATTATATATATTTGGGCAAATTAAGACGCATATTAACACAAACAATTAACCTAAAAATTAAATAGAGAAATTATAAGCTTCCTCATGAGTAGAGAACTCCATTCCAATATATGGATCAACAACATAATTACCTTCACCATTTTCAACGCTGATAGGCTCATCAACATTCTGCTCAAGCTCGGATGCCTATAAAAATAGAGAAACGAAAATTATAAAACTCATTATAAAAGATAACTATTTTGGTATATGTCATTAGATAGTAGTACACTATAAAGAATAAGATATTATCACCTGAGAGAAAAAACTTGTCGTAGATAGTAAACCATGGTCCTCGCTTTCAAGGTCAAGGGCTGTATATTTGTTTTCATCTTTAACTATTGTTGTATCACGTGAGAGAATTGTTGGCGTTTCCATACAAGCTATCAAATTATCACATATAAGAATGTTAAAAATCTAGAAAATTTCAATCCTCAAGTTCAATGAGGGCTGATGAAGAGGTCGAAGCGAACTCCAAACGAGGGGATGTCGAGGGCGAGTGCGAGCTTCAGCAGCGACGCTGAGCGTGCGTATACTGAAAAGAGAGAAAACAAATATGTCGATGTATCGAATATAACTACGTGTTAAAAACATAAGATTTCTTTTGTTCAAACTTTATTACACTTAACAATAGTGTCTGATGTGCATGTTTTCATGTTGGCACAGCGATACAAAAACACAGAATGAGAAAGGATGTGTTGTATAAAGGGTTAGCATTTGTGGATTGGTATATCTTGTCACAGTACAACTTGGGATTATTTCTCGGGTCATATGCATAATCATTTGTGCTATTTTGTGCATGTAAATCAAGAAGAGAGGTTCATACACGTTTGAGGATATGTAAAGTTAAAGTATGATATTAAAAACTTCATCTTTCAGAAACTAGGGAGCAAAAATTTTTAATTAAAAACTAACATACCAAATTTTAATTAAAAACCGCAAACTTTTTCCTCAAAATAAAAAAGCCGCTGAGAGGATGTGGAGGGCGCTTAGGCGGCGTGACCGGAGCGGATGTCGAGGGCGTAGTCGAGGAGAGCCGCGTTGAGCAGCTGGAGAAGAGCGGACGGCGACGCCGCTGAGAGGATGTTGAGGGCGCTTAGGCGTCGTGATCCGGAGCGGATGTCGAGGGCGAAGTCGAGAGCGGTGAAGTTGAGGAGAGCAGACGTCGAGGAGTTCGAGGCCGCTCGGCGACGTGATCCGGAGCGGGTGTCGAGGAGTTCGAGGCCGCTCGGCGGCGTGATCCGGAGCGGTGTCGAGGGCAAAGTCGGGGGCAAAGTTGAGGGCAAAGTTGAGGAGAGCGGTGTCGAGGCCGATCGGCGGCGTGATCCAGAGCGGTGTCGAGGGCAAAGCAGAGGTCGCGGACGTGTAGAATTCCCCACGATCGCGATTAATTTTCCTGGGATTTGGCCGATTAAACAAATTTAGAAATTTGTTTTTTTTTAATGGGAGATTGTTATTAATTGAGGGCTGAGATGTATTTGGTTTTTTTTAATCAATGGTCAAGATCGCGCATCCTTAGGCTACACCTA